TCTGTGTCAGCCCCTTCGATAGCTCAGTTGGTAGAGCGGAGGACTGTAGAGGCAAGAAGCTGAAATCCTTAGGTCGCTGGTTCGAATCCGGCTCGAAGGAGGTCCTCTTTTTTGTAACCTTTTTTCATCATTGAACAGCTACATATTTAAAACAACACATCGGTATATTAATCCACGTTTTTCAAATGATGTTTCACAAAGAAATGAAGAGAAGTTTAAAGGCAAACACGGAGGAAACACGATCTTTCCAGCTCGTGTTTTTGTTTTCATACATATTTTAGTGAATTATTTTCTAGCGCCAGAAATTAAATCCATATTTAAATGATAAAATGTGCCAAACTTAGAACGCCAGATTGGGAAAAAATAATAATAATAATGTGGAAAAAGTACGTTCCCTGACCGGGAATCGAACCCGGGCCGCGGCGGTGAGAGCGCCGAATCCTAACCACTAGACCACCAGGGAAGTTGCAATGACGTAGACACTAACAAGACAAAAGTATCACTCCATCACACAACGGGAGCACACATAGGGAGGGAGGGATGGGGGGTTGGAAGGAAGGGGAAAGGTAACAGCGAGGCAGTGAGTCCAAAGAAGGCAAGAAGTCTGTACTTGTGTGTGTGTAAGTGTAAGCAAGCTGGAGTCCACATCTACAGGCTGGATGGAATTTGTCCTTGTGATGCCCATACTAAAGTTGCAGAGCAGCAGCTGCAAGGCCGTTCTCCGGAGGCCAGATAGAGATAAGAGAGATAGCTTTGTTCCACACAGAGCGTGTTTTGTCTGCCTTAAGTCCTCAGCAGGTCTATCAATGGCGAACAAATTCAGCCAAATTGTGTTAGTTTCCCTCCATCCAAACCACCAACTTCTCATAATGTTAAGAAAATACATTAGTATATTGATAAAGGTTTTTCAGATGGTGTTTGACAGAAATATTTAGCTAGGTTTCATTGTAAACACTGAGGACCGTGTTTTTTATATATATATATTTAAGTGAATTCTTTGCCAGCTCCAGAACTGAATTCCAGGAATGGAAAAAGAAGAGTTCCCTGACCGGGAATCGAACCCGGGCCGCGGCGGTGAGAGCGCCGAATCCTAACCACTAGACCACCAGGGACGGTGTTGTGACGTAGAGACTAACCGGAAATAAGAATGCCTTATGACAAGAATGAAGGTATGAAAAGACTTGGATTTTTTTGCAGTCTTTAAGTATTTCAGGGTGAGATAAAACTTAAGTTTAATGACGCATCGTTTTTAATATTTTTTCTCTTCATGAAAAGACACAAATGTCCTTATAAAACCTTTTTTTTTTTAAACTAAACTATCATTTTTTACATAATTCATTGCTTCCATAGCCTTAAAAGGCTTTTAAACGCTCATAATTTCATTAGTTTAATTAGTTATTCAGTACATTTTAAATCTGGTGCCTCACGAAAAATGTCATAGAGACTAACACGAAATTAGAATTACTCAAAGGAAGGTATGAAAAAAATGTAATTCGCTACTTTGTTATATAGATTTTGGAACAAATAAATTTTACTGACAAGCACAACTATCTTCCTGACCTACTTGAAGCCTTAATGTCTCAAACAGACTATATTTTTTAACAGCACTGCACATTACTGAATTGATTTTTTTTCCTCTCTAAAGAGGACATTTGGGACTTTTTTATAACCAAATATGTGGGGCTAGGGCTACTAGCTACTAGGGAACTACCTCTTATTTAACTTTTAAAATTACAAGGAATTCTCTGAACGTTAACCTTTTTGACCTTTTGTGATCGGCAAATACCTTTTCATTACAGGATTTTTAAAGTTTTAAAGACCCCCTGCCTCCAGAACCACCGACCCAGACAGGGATTTTGAGCCTTTTGCCGTTTTGGTACCTTTGGGACACATTATTTCTTTTTTGTTCCTTTTTTTTATAACAAAAAAACTTCTTTAAAAAAAAAACTTTTTCTTTGTTTATTTCACGAAGTGTAAAAGCCAAAAAAGAGGCTCCACCGAACTAATCCGGAGCCATGTCAGATAAATTGACCATCGAGAACATATTCATAGTAAAAAAAAAATTTTAAATTTAAAAAAAGGAAGGAAGGAGGAAGTCAACATTGTCTAAAAATTGTGGTCCTTGATCTTGTGACTTCTCCGTCTTCATGACGTCATCGCTGTTTACCGCGAGGAAGACAGGCGGGCGCACGCGCACTTTAGCCAGCGCGGTCTGCTGATAGAGGTTTAAATAGACATTAGCCGCGTGGAATAGTTAAAGGAGCGGGTGACATTTAATAATAGCAAGGCCAGCTTTGAGGGACAGCTTCCGGGATGAGGTGTTTCTGAAGTGCCGGGATGTCTACGGCTAGTGCCGCCGCGGAGATAGGAACCAACGACGAGGCTAACGGAGCCCCGGCCGAGGCGTCCCCGGCCCGGGGCTCCGGGGAGGGCGGCGGGCCCAGGAGCGTCCGGAGGCTCTTCCCGCCGCTGTACCGACATGAGCTGCTCCAACTCCTCAAACTGGCGGCTCCCGTGGTGAGACCAAAGCCCCTCTTTTTTTGGGAGCCAGGCTGCGACCGTTAGCGAGCACGAGACGTTCCTTCTCTCACTCCCTGGAAACAGGAAGAATATTGTTGCCATGGATACGGAGAGCCTTCGATAAGTTTCCGTTCCAATGAGTTAAATTTTGGATTTTACCATTAACAAACGAGCAGTGAATATATTTATTTACTTTATATATTTACTTTACATTATATTATATTATATTATATTTTCAGTGAATATTTTTGTGCTTAAAAAATATTGAGAATCAGTGGCGAACTTTTTGTAAACTTTTAGGAAACATTTCTTCAGCTTTTTCTCTTAAACATCTTTCAAAGTTGGCTGCTTTATTTTTAAAAAATCGATTATTTTCAGAGGAAAACCAACAATAAATAATTTAGGCATTACAAAAGGCAAAAAACTCAAGGCATGACGTTGTGTTTACACATCACAAGCAACCTAATTAGGCACAGAAATGGTATCTCGTGCACTTTAATATGTTTTCATAAGTTATATTTTTTTCCACTTATAAGGATATCTTATCTTTTGTTGCTGATTTTTATTTATATTTACACACATATTTTATTTATATTTATTTTCTTCATTTAAAAAAAGTTTGTCTCAGCATGAATTCAATTTCTTTAAATGTATATTTCTAAAATATTTTTTAGAAATTGAAATTTAGGAAATTTAATTCCTTCATAACAAATTAATAAGTGCTGTACTGATAAGACTGATTTACACTATAAATATATTCATGACTTCTTATCTGAAATAAAAGTTATTTTTCTAATTCTCACGTGTGACAGTTTCATTTTTTTAAGATCTGAAATGAATTCATGTCACAAGTTCAGTTAAAAACAACAACTCAGAGGGTAATATTTCAGCTTTTAGCTGAAGGTGCTGAAAGGAATCCCCATCCAGATTTCACAAACACTTTTTTTGACATTCATATCTGCTTGCTCAAGTACTGTCTAAACATTGGCCTGTTTACCTTCCCACTCACATCCGGAGGGTGTTGTGTCTGATGTTGTGTTTCCAGATGCTTTCTCAGATGATGGTGTTCCTGATCAGTATCATCAGTGTGGTGTTTTGTGGACACCTGGGGAAAACCGAGCTTGCAGGAGTATCGCTGGCAGCCGCTGTGAGGACACGTGATTGGAACCCCCTGAAGCCTTCCACGAGCTGTCCGTTAGGTTTCCCTCTATTTGTGATTATGACTGTTGGCTTTCGCTTTTCTCCGGCAGGTGGTGAACATCATGGGCGTTTCTATCGGAACCGGTTTGTCCTGTACTTGTGATACCCTCATATCTCAGGTAGAGTCCTCGGCTGAGTTTTGTCTGTAAACAGATCGCCATCAAGTTATTTCTCTCTCTGTTTGGAGCAGACGTTTGGGAGCGGGAACCTGAAGCGGGTGGGGGTGATCCTCCAGAGGGGGGTGCTGATCCTGCTGCTGGCCTGCTTCCCCTGCTGGGCCGTGCTCATCAACACCGAGCCCCTGCTGCTGGCCGCCCGGCAGAGCCCCGAGGTCGCCAGGTCAGCGCCCCGCCGCCGGCCGCCAGCTCTGGATGTTCATGTTTCTGCATTCAGACGCTTTTATCCAAAGCCACTTACAAAGGAGACACAATATTACAGTTCTCATAAGATCTCTAGAGGAAAAGACAGACAGGGAGCTGCTGTTTCTCCATCTTAAAGCTGTTTTTGGGGCTTTAAAAGATGTTTTGTGGCATTAAAAGCTGTTTTTTGGGGCTTTAAAGCTGTTTATTTGGGGCTTTAAAGCTGTTTTTGGGGGACTTTAAAGCTGTTTTGTGGCTTTAAAACCTGTTGTTTGGGACTTTAAAGCTCTTTTTTGGGGGCTTTTATGTTTATGTTTGTGCATTTAGACGCTTTTATCCACAGTCACTTACAAAGTAGACACAATGTTCCAGTTCATAGAAAGTACAAAGCAGATTTACTAAACCCACAGTACACAATATTGTGTCTCTCTCACATGCGACGTGTGTTTGTCTTTGCTGCTGTAAAGTCTGGCCCAGCTGTATGTGAAGATCTTCATGCCTGCCCTCCCGGTGAGTTTCATGCATTCTGCTTCCTCCTAAACCTGCAAAACAATCTTTCTCTCTACAGAACGGTGGACTCCGGATAGTTTTAAACGGTCCTCTAACCCTGCAGATCGTTGCTGATGTCTTTCCTCCTTTTTGTTTGAACCCTTAGGCCACTTTTATGTACCAGCTTCAGGGGAAGTACCTACAAAATCAGGTGCACTATTTTAAAACAGGGACATTCGCGTGGATTTGAATAAACGCTGTGTAAATCTACATTTAGTTGCACTGGTGTTTGCAGGGAATAATGTGGCCTCAGGTTATAGCTGGAACAGCTGGGAATGTCCTCAATGCCATCATCAACTACATCTTCCTCTATCCTCTGGAGCTGGGAGTGGCGTGAGTTTCTCAGTTATTAATATTTTAAAATCAGTGACTCTAGTGGCTTTATTAATTAATTCTCTAATATCTAGTTAGGTTAAAATAGGCCTGCAAACATTAGAGACATACAGCAGCTTTAAATGTTTAATATTATTTAAACAAATGATTAAATAATGATAAAATATTGAATTTAATTCTAATGAAGTTTGAAGTGGTCCTATTTTTCTATGTCTTTGTCCCTTTAACTCCTGTCCTCGTGTTTTTTTAGTGGATCTGCAGCTGCTAATACCATCAGTCAGTACCTGCTGACCTTGTTCTTATATGTTTACATCTACTGGAGGGGTCTGCACAAAGCCACATGGGGAGGTCAGCTCTGCTCCATATTTAAGCTTCAGCCATTTCTGCTGTGTTAGAAACATCCAGGAAGTTTTGGATTCTTTGTTTTTCTTTTGTCTTCTCACTACTTTTCTGTTTGATTCACAGGTTGGTCTCTTGATTGCCTGCAGGAGTGGGGTCTTTTCCTTAAGCTGGCCATCCCCAGTATGCTCATGATCTGCCTGGCGTGGTGGATATTTGAAGTAGGAGGGATCCTGGCAGGTGTGATCAGTGAGGTTGAGCTGGGTGCTCAGTCCATAGCCTACCAGCTGTGTATTTTGGCTTACATGGTGACTCCCACTGACTTCTCCTGTCTCTGTGGTATGAATGCTGATGGTGTGTGTCTGACTCAGCGAAGAAAGTAACTATTAACAAAAGCTGTTTCTCCCAGTTTTAATAAATAATATGTGCTCCTCCTGAACAGTAAGTTCTCAATAACAGGGATCTCCAACTTCCGACCGCTTCAAACACAGCCGTTTCAGCCTGAATAGATCTCTTTTAAAGATTGTTAAGGCGTTTACAGCCTGCTAACGTTACAATGATGTGAATCAGATGTGTTGAAGCAGGAAACCGTCTAAAACCTGCAGGACTGCTGCCCTCCGGAGGAGCAGATGGAGATCCCTGCTCTGTGAAACACTCATATTTATGCATTTAACAAACGCTTTTATCCAAAGCGACTTATAAAAATGCAATTTAGAACTAAAAACGGTGACATCAAGAGTGTGCCAGGAGGAGAAAACAGATCTTCAGGCTGGTAAAGTTCAGTTTACCAGAGGCTGTGAGAGGAGAAGGAGATGAAAGATAAGTAATGTTAGTCTTTTCTGGTTAGAAATGGAGATACTCTTGTTATGTATAAGAGCTGCATCAGATAAAGGAGATAAAATGTCATTTAGACTTAACCTGGTTTTAAGACGCAGGAAAATAAGCTCAAATGATCAACGCATACAAAGTAAATTGTGCCATTATTTTGAAAAAGGAGAGGGAATTTGTGAAACCCTTAGCCAGGAGCTTCTAATGCGCTTTATTAAATGACCATTTATTAAGTGTAAGATTAACATTTGTTGTCTCTTTAAACTCTTTATCTGTTGCATAATCACTGAGGTTTACAGGAGATCTTTAAATGGGAATACCACCTAAATTCAAACTGTTCCTTAAGAGCATGAAAGCCCCCAATGTCATTAGAAATGATTTAAATATAAGTCTGATTTAAGAGCTGGCATATGTGACTTCAGCTCTTTTAGTCGATAAAAAACATATACGTCAAAAACAAAACAATTCCTAATTAAAACTGCAGGACTGTAGTGGCCACGAGAACACAAAGGATGTACAAACCTCCATAATCCTGATGACCCTCAATTTTAACTTTCATCTCCCCAAACGCATCTCCAAAGCACTTGGACTTTGTGGAGGATTTCCCAGCTGAAGTTGGAGACAGCAGAGATATTACGTCTGCCTCAGCTTTTTCCTGCCTGTGCTCAGTAAACCCTCTGGGTTTTTACCAACTCAAAAGGATTTGGTGTCACGGTTCTCCTTCTTCAGCACATGTCCGAAAACTCACAAAATAAAGCCCGTAATAACATCTGTGCTTATCTGTCCTCCTCCCTCAGTGCCCGCTGGGCTTTTCGGTGGCTGCCAGCGTGCGGGTCGGGAATGCTCTCGGGGCTGGAAACCCGGAGCAGGCCAAGCTTTCCTGCAAAGTCCCCATCGTCTGTGCATGTAAGGACCGGCTCTCTCCACATCTGCAGCCCCTGTTCCAACCGATTTGTCCCCTTTTTTAAATCTTCCAGGAGTTTACAAGGTTAAACACAGCATATCTTTTCTTAAGGGGGGTTTCTAAAGAGCCCGGAAATCAATTTTATTTCAAATGTGTTTCATGTCTAAAAAAAACCTTAAACAGATAAAAACTCCGGGGAATGTTTGTTCTTTGTGATGTTACTAAATTAGCTTTTTTACGTGGCTGAACTCTGAGGGTCACATGCTGTGTGTGTGTGTCTGTGTGTGTGTGTGACGCAGTCGCCGTGGCGTGCCTCGTGGGAGTTTGCATCTGCCTCACCAGAAACGTCATTGGACACATTTTCACCTCGGAGCAGTAAGTTTACTCACAGAAACAGTAACTTGTCAACAAACCCCCCGTTTTGTGGACCTTTGGTTTTAGTCTGTGACATAACCAGGAAGTTTTCATGTGTCCCGTCGTGGCCATAAATTAACCCAGAGGCTGACTCAAAAACAATAATCTGTGACTTTTTAATGAGCCTCAGTTATGTGGGACAGCTCTGTCACGGAGCGGGTTTTATATTTTTGGACAAAGAAAGTAAATGGACTCGAATGGGTAAACTGTTGATTATTTTTAAACCAAAATAGACGTTGGAAATCTGATCGCAGCATACAATTTTGAGACGGTTTTGGTCTTTTTTTGACCACCTTCCCATTGGAAAAATTAGGAAAAGTCATTTCTCTTTTGTTTCTGAATTAAAAAGAGTATCTGAGACTTTAGACTAACCCTGCAGATTCCAAATTTGTTGCCCTAATAGAGCATCTTTATCTTTAATAGAGTTATTTTGCGTCATTTATTATGAATACACCTCATTTTAAGGGATGAAACACTGACGACTGTCTATTTTTAAGACTAAAACCAACATGTTTCTGCGTCTTTTTAGAGACATTATTCAGAGGGTTGGAGACGTTATGCTCATCTTCAGCTTCATGCACATCTGCGACGCCACGGCGGTGAGAAGCGAAACGCCAAAGTCGCTCTGAGCCAGACGTGTTTGACGGACCGTCCGGTTACCAGATTCCCCCTTAATGCTTCAGGGAGTGGCGTCCGGAGTGGTCAGAGGAGCGGGAAAGCAGCTCATCGGGGCCGTTTGTAACTTGGTGGGATTCTACGTGGTTGGATTCCCCACCGGCGTGACCCTCATGTTTGCTGCACACCAGGGGATCGTGGGTAAGTCCAAATCATTTCCCTTTCAATTCAATTTTATTCAATTTTATTTATATAGTGCCAACTCACAACTACAGTTATCTCACAGGGCTTTTCATTAAGAGCAGGTCAGATCTGAAGTTATTTACAGAAGCCCAACAGTTCCCACCAAGAGCAGCACTAGGCGACAGAGGGAAGGAAAAACTTCCTTTAGGAGGAAGAAAACTCGAGCAGAACCATCTGTGGCCATCTGCCTCGAGAGGGCAAGAGAGAAGGACAGAAGGAGCAGAGGATGAAAAATGGCAAAGATATTGATACTAATGATAATGATAGCAGTAATAACAGCAATAAGACTATGAACTGTGTCTCATGCTGCCCGAACGACTCATTTTAGTTAAATCTAATAGTTTTTATTCATATAGCACTAACACACAAAAAATCCCACCTCAAATCAACACTTTTTTGCTCTGATCCACAGGGCTTTGGACAGGACTTGCCATCGGTCTGTTTCTACAAGCAGTTTTCTATGTCGTATTTTTGTGCAAAATGGACTGGAAAAAGGCCTCAGAAGAGGTAAGCTGCTTCATTATCTCAGTCAACACGAGTGCCTTCACCTCATCCAGACACAGATGTTCATGAAAAAGAGAGGAAAGGGACCAATCCCTTCTCAGATATGCATCACAATACGATGAAAACAAATCATGTTGTACTTTTTTAAGTCAAAGCCAAGGAGGAAAGACACGAGCGGGGATCAGAACCTTTTGATTTACAGATTCTGTGCTCAATGCCCCGTCGTATCTGAGGCCGAGCACAGCTTCAGTTATGTTTCTGGGTGTTTGCCTTCAGGCTCTTGTGAGGGCTGGGGTCCACGTCGCCCCGGAAACCGAGCCCTTGGAGCTGGAGCCCTCAGGTGAAACGCGACCGCTCTCCGCCCCGTCGGCGTCTCAAACCGAGCCTCCTCCCGTAACCCAGCTTCGCTTTCCCGCCAAAACTGTCTCCACGCTGCAGAGCCCGGTCCCGCCTGGACGCCGGGCGCCAGGCTGAGGGACGGCGAGGGGGGCGGGGCTGACCCAGAACCCAGGGAGTTGGGCGCCACCATCGTGGGGGACGTGCTGCCCGTCAAACAGCTGCTGGCACGCCGCGGCCTGGCGCTCCTGATCATGATCGGGGTCCTTGTGGGGGGAATTCTCACCAGCAGCCTTCTGACCGGCCTCTTAAAATGAAAAGAAAAGCATCAGAGTCTCAGAGTCAGACGCTGTGAACCACCGATGATGTTTAAGAGGTTTAAAGGTTTACATACAGACTATAAAGCACCTGAATTTGGGAGTTTGCACTTTTTAATGATCCACCTCTGGAGGTGAAGAGGATTTTCTGCTACATTTTTTTTAGATCTAGAGTGTAAAAGCAATCAGAGTGAGGAGTTAAAGAGACTCCAGCAACTAAAAGAAGTGGTTAGTGTGTAAGAGGGTCCTGATTCTTTAGATTTTAGCTTGTACCTGTTCATATATTCCTTAAAATGATTTAAACTGATAGATTAGAAACAGGAAACATTTTTATTTACTCTGAGAATTAAAGACCAGCTGCTTAAGAGATGCAACCTTTTCCTTCCTGTTTTTTTTATTTGATATACTGTTGATGCTTTAAAATTGCTTTATGCATGAAGTCTAAAGATTTAATTGTTTGAAAATCAGCTTTCAGATGTTCTCTGAGCGATGGTTGGTTGAACAGGAGCTTCCCAGCGTGGCGCCATCCCGCCGTGTGGAGCTCCTCTGCTGGAAAACGAGGCGCAGTGAGCACTTTAACACCAAAGCACACCTTTCCAGATGTTATCCGCCTGAATTATGACCACAAACTGTCGGGGATCTTATTAGTTTACACCAAAGAAATCAAATCTGTCCGGCTCTGCTCCGCTTTTGTTCCAGTTGTTCATATTTTTGGGGGGGTTCAAGTCCAGTGTGAGAGTCATTCATTCATGGTGACGGTTAAAAAGTGACCGAGCAGCCGTGTAAGTGCAGCTGTTTCCACCTTCTGATGCAAGACGCTCTCTGTTTCATTTCTTGATTTAAACATTAGATTACATTACATTATCACGTTATATTTTGGTTCCTTCCAAGAAATAATGATTCAGTTGAAGAACCTCTTTGGTTCTTGTCTGCTTCACGTTGGTCACAGTGGCTTTGGATTGAAATTGAGTTTTTATGCCGTTATTGAGCTCGGATTTTCCCCACTCTGCCAAATCTTTAGTGACTGGGACTCTGTTATTTGTTGTATTTTTGCCCCAAATAATCTGTAATTTGACCATTAAGTTACATGGGTTTTATTGTTTCTTTATCTTTATATGCAGAACACAGGATTTATTCCAGTGTGATCATTTTTTTTTATCCATTCTCTTTTATTTTATTGGTTATCCATGTTATATGCACTTTCTTTACTGTACTTGTCTCTTTTATAAAATCAATTAATTAAAACTTGTTGATTGGTATTTTATGGAGACTGTTGTATAATGTCGGAGTCACCATGCGATGTCTGAGCAGTTTGGGGCCACTTGGATTGTTTTGTGGGTTTTTTTCTTTGAATACATGCTGTTGTTTAATCATATTCACACATATGTGATGCATTTAAGTTCCAGAAAAGTCAGAAAAAAGCAGAAAGTTAAATCAGAGCAGCTTTGTAGCAGAACTGGTAAGAAAAAAAGTAATTTTTTACTTCTGTACTTTATGCTGTTTTTCAGTCACTTCATTTGAAGCTTATTTGGATGTTATTTAATGTATTTTTCAAAAGTCTAATGTTTATATTTTAAAGCATAAAGTCAATTCAGGGAGAGAGGTTGTAAATTATATGGCCTCACTCACCTTTGTATTTTTTAAATGAGTCAAAGTCCACCACTCTGAAAAAAACACCCAAAACCCGAAATGATTTCCAAGTTCTGGGAATGAGAAACTTTAATGTGCAGCCGAATGTCCTCTTTTGTGCTCTTTAATGTGCTGTAAAGGTCAGCATCTGAACCGGTGGTACGATGGTGCGTTGAGGTGTAAAAGGAAATACGGCTGCCGCTCAGATGATGGTCTTTATTTCAGCATGAAGGGGTCGAGTCGGGTCCAGAAACCACACCCGGCCATCGGGGGTAATTTTCCAATAGTCCAATAACTGGTAGAAATATTGGATTGCAAAAGAAAGAACAATTTGAAATGAGAAAACTTAAATTAAGGTTAAAGCAAAAAAGTTTGTGTACTAAATTTAAACAAAAACTGAAAAATAGTTTTGATGATTAAGCTCTGAAAAAAAGTTTTTAAAAGGAAAGTTCGACTTCTTTACCACTAAAAACCCCCAGACAACCACATCGGACCACAATAAAACACAAATGAAATAAAAAGTTACAAAGAAGAGAAGCCTAACTACATTTTACAATGAAAAAACAAATCAGAATTCATTGTGAGGCTACACAAAACTGAGTCCACTTTTAATTAAGCCGGTTAAACTTCCAGCTGAGTTGTGAACTATTCCAGTTATTGTTTAACGTTATTTATCTGCCTTTCAGGAAGCTGCTCCTCATCACATTTTATTTGATTAAATGACATTTTGCATTGCATCAAAGTCCCTTTTCCAGCTTAAGAACCAACAAAGAAGCGCAAAAAACAAGGCAACAAATTGAAAAAAATACACAATTTACAGGGAATAAAACCAAAACAAACGCGCTCTCTGAAGATGATCCTCTCCCCTTGAATTGCTTGAACCAATACTTCTTGATTGTTTTCTGTCAGAATTTGATCCTCCAGAATATCCGGACACACGCTGCTTGTCACACACACACACACACACACACACACACACACACACACACACAC